AATTTTGCATTTTACAATTTAGTTATATTACCCTTTAAAAATTAATTTTTGTGAAGGGTGTAAAGTCTGTGTTTAGATTTAAAAACTTTTTTTTCCATGGGGGTGCCCTGTTGTTCTAATACCACTTGTTGAAAAGACTGTCTTCACTCTATTATGTTGCCTTGGCTCTTTGTCAAAGATTAGTTGATTGTACTTATGTGGGTCTATTTCTAGGCTCTCTATTCTTTTCCACTGTTCTCTTTGTAGCTTTCTTTTCTTGTAATATCTTTCTTTGTATGCTTTTGGTATTAGAGTAATGCTGACCTCAAAAAAAGGGGTAGGAAATGTTCTGTTTCTGCCTTTTGGAAGAGATTGTGTAGAACTGGTATAGTTTCTTCCTTAAATTCTTGATAGAATTCAGGCCAGGCATGGTGGCTCATGTCTGTAATCGCAGAACTTTGGGACACTGAGTCAGGAGGATTGCTTGAGGATAGGAGCTAAGAGACCAGCCTATGCAGCATAGAGAGACCCCCATCTCTACAAAAATAAAAAATAAAAATTAACTAGACATGGTAGTGTGCACTTATAGTCCCAGTTACTCAGGAGGCTGAGGCAGGAGGGTTACTTGAGCCTAGGAAGTTGAGACTGCAGCGAGCTGTGAATGTACCACTGCACTCCAGGCTCGTGACAAAGCAAGACATTATCTCTTTAAAAAAGAAAGAAAAGAAAAATAATTGACTCATGTACATATCTGGGTCTAGTGCTTTCTGTTTTAGAAATTTATTATTCTTAATTATTATTTCAATTTCTTTCATAGATATAGCTTATTCAGATCGTCCATATCTCCTTGTGTGTTTTGGTAGATTGTCTCTCAAGGAATTGGTCCATTTAATCAAGGTTATATTTATTATGGTCATAGATTGTACCTGCTAGTCATTGTCTGTGGGATCTATAGTGATGTCCCTCTTTTATATCTAATATTAGTAATTTGTGTCTTTTCTCTTTTTTCTTTTCTTTTTGGAGTTGGAGTCTCACTCTGTCACCCATACTGGAGTGCAGTGGCCGTTCCCGGCCACCACAGCCTCGACCTGCTGAGCTCTGGCGATCCTTCCGCCACAGCCTTACAAGTAGCTGGAACTACAGGCGCGCACTACCACACCTGGCTGATTTTTTGATTTATTGTAGACATGAGGGCTCACCAAGTTGCCCAGGCGGGTCTCGAACCCACGGGCTCAGGCAATCCACTCACCTCAGCCTCCCAAGGCGGGGGATGACAGGCTGAGCCACCGAGCCTGGCTCTCTTTTTTCTTAGCATAGCTAGGTTATCAAGTTTATTGATCTTTTCAAAGAATTGGTTTTTTATTTTTATTGATTTTCTTCACTGATTTGTTTTCAATCTTATTGATTTCTACTCAAATTTTTATAATTTATTCTGCTTACTTTGGAATTAATTTGCTATTTCTAGCTTTCTAATGTGAAAACTTAGAGTATTAATTTTAGATCTTTCTTCTTTGCTGAGATGTGCATTTAATGCTATAAATTTCCCTCTCAGCACTGTTTTCACTGCATCCCACAAATTTTGGTATGTTGTAATTTCATTTTCATTTAGTTCAAATATGTTACATTTTATCCTGAGATTTCTTATTTAACTCATGTGTTCCTTACAAGTGTGTTGTTTATTCTCCAAGTATTTTAGATTTTCCAGCTTTCTGTTATTGATGTCTAGTTTAATTCCAGTGTGGTCTGAGAGTAGATATTGTATGATTTCTATTCTTTTAAAATTGTTAAGGTGTGTTTTATGGCTCAGAATATGGTCTATCTTGATGAGTGTTCCATGTAAGCTTGAGAAGAATGTATACTCTGCTCTTCTTGAAGTGGTCTGCAGATTTCCACTATATCCAGTTGCTTGATGGCGTGGTGGAGTTCAACTAGGTTCTTCCTGGTTTTCTGCTGGATCTATCCCTTTCTTACAGAGGGACATTGAAATACCCAGCTATATAGTGGGCTCATTTATTTCCCTTTGCTGCTTTATCCGTTTTTGCCTCACATGTTTTGACACTCTGTTGTTAGAGACACACAAAGTTTCTATTGAGATACTCCCAAGTTCGGAGACATTTTCCCCTCAGCCTGTCCAGTCTATTCATGAGCCTGTCAAAAGTGTCCTTCACTTCTGTTACAGTGTTTTGATCACTAGCTTTTCTTTTGTTCTTTCTTAGGATGTTCATCTCTCTGCTTCATGGCCTAGTTGTCCCTGTGTGCCACCTTTATCTGCCAGAGCCCTTCACGTTATCACAGTTGTTTTAAATTCCTGATCTGATAATCCCAACCTCTGCCTGCCATATCTGGGTCTGGTTTTGATGCTTGCTCTGTCTCTTTTAGACTGTTTTTGGGCCTGTTACTATGCCTTGTAATTTTCTTCTTGGTAGCAGGACCTCATGTGCTGGGTAAAAGGAACGGTGGTAAATGGGCCTTTCGTCATGTGGTGGTGAGGTGTGGGGACGGGTGTGCTCTATGGTCCTGGGTCAAGTCTCGGTCTCATGGTGAGCCTGGACTGTGAACGTCATAGGCACTTCACAGTCTCCCCTTACTCAGGTGTGACAGGATGGCCGGAGGGGCTGGAGTTGGGTGTCTCCTTTTTCCTGGGTCAGTCGGGCTCTGGGAAAAACCTAAATAATGCAGGCTCTGGTAAGAAAGTTTCTCCTGAGGGCAGGCCTTGTCACGCACAGAACGCCTTGGGGGTGCCTTGGGGGGCTTAAAATTTGCTTTTCTCCTTCCCTTTCGGGGAGCATGAGGTGATTTTTCTCCAGTATTGACCGTGAGAACCTCGCTGAGTTCCTGGGTGCCACTGGGGATTTTATCTCTTGGACTTGTCCACAGTGAGCCTCTAGCAATTTGTCAGTTATAGTTCAGGCTTTCCCTGCACCCACACTGATGCCCAGGTAGGTTTCTGCTGTGGGCTTCTGCTCTGGTAAACTGTGCCTGTCCGGTTTTGGGGGCAGTGGTTTGCCCTGTGACCTCACTTTTCTGAAGGTCTCACAGAAATTGATTTTAGTTTGTTCAGGTTTTTACTTGTTATTAGAATGGAGTCATGACTGCCCAGCTCCCTACATGCCAGACGAGAAACCGAAAGTCTCCTACTTAATAGTTCTTAACAGTTGTAAACTGGACATTGTCGATGATACATTGTGGAGATTCTGATTTCTGCTACCTGAGAGTGTTGCTTTTGTTCTCACAGTTAATCAGTGGCTGTGAAGGCTTGGCTGTACACTTTGTTAAGACCGGTCTTTCAAACTTTTCCCCTTAACCTTAGGCAAATCCCTTAGTCCTGGGACAGTCTGTACTCCTAGCACGAGCCGTTTGAGACTTCCTTAGAGTATCTGAGGTGTTTATCAAGTCTCTTTGGTTTAATGGAACTCGCACTCTAAACTCGATTTTCCCTCCAATGCCTGCCTGGCTGTCTCAGCCTTCCTGCGATTGCTAGACTCTCTCCCCTGTGCGTGCACAAGGCAGGGGTCAGCCAAGAATTTGAAGGGAGTCTACACACAGAACTGGAGGCCTCCCTTCCATGACTCTCTCCTTCCTGGCATCTTCTCCATCAATTTTCATCATTGTGGCTGCCCTAAACAGTCTTTTGACACCTCAAGCCAAAGAGACGGCAGCTTTCTTCTTGCATTTCAGCTGTCCCATGTGCAGACTGAGGAGTGTGCCTGGGGAGCCATGTTCAAACACAGATTTAACCAGAGTGGCTTCCCTCGCTCCGAGGTCAAAACCCTCAGGTTTCTGCCTGTCTTGGTTATTTTTTAGCCATGACTTCCCAGCTCCCTACATGCCAGACGAGAAGCCGGAAGTCTCTTACTTAATAACAAAGTCTCCCGTACACTTTGGTAGGACTGCAATTTTTTTTTTATGTTGCCTAGAGGAGGGTTAGTGCTTTACAAACGACTCCTCTAGTCCCTTAAATGGAATCCTTTACTTTTTATAAGAGGAATGCGGTCCCGATGTTTGCTTCACTGATTGTCAAAGCTCATGGCACTGCCGTTCACTGGCAATGGAGACTAGCTAAATTCTCTTCCAAACCCCGGTCAGAGACAACAACTGCGATTCTCTGCGGGGCAGCCTGAATCTCAGTCACAAAAAGATATTTGAATGATTGTTCTACCGGCTCTGAAGGCAGGTCCAAGGAGAAGTTCCACATCATTTTGGACAACAAGATCAGCACTAGAAGAAGCATATAGATTCTCACGATGAGTTTTGGACAGAGAGAGCCATCATTGGAATATGTGAATATCTAGCACATTTGAGTCAATTGATAATCGTATTTCTCCTCTCTACAACACAGGGTCCGAGTTGAGTTTCTGTTGTTTGGTTGGTTGGTTTTGTTTTTGTTTTTTTGAGTCCAGGTCTCTCTCTGTCACTCAGGCTGTAGTGCCGTGGCACAGTCATGGCTTACTGCGGCCTCAACCTCGGGCTCAGATGATTCTTCCACCTCAGCTTCCCAAGTAGTTAGAACTACAGGTGTGTGCCACCATGCCCCCATGCTTTTTTTTTCTTTTTTGAGCTGGAGTCTCACTCTGTCGCCCAGACTGGAATGCAGTGGCCGCTCCCGGCCACCGCAGCCTCGCCTGCTGGGCTCTGGCAATCCCTCCGCCTCAGCCTTCCCAGTAGCCGGAATTACAGGCGTGCCCTACCACGCCCGGCTGATCTTTGATTTATTGTAGAGATGAGGTCTCGCTGCCCAGGCGGGTCTTGAACCCGCGGGCTAAGGCCATCCACTCACCTCAGCCTCCCAAAGGCGGGGGATGACAGGCTGAGCCACCGAGCCCGGCTCCCCCTGATTTTTTGATTTTTTTTTTGTAGAGCTGAGGTCTTGCTATGTTGCCCGGGCTGGTCTCCAACTCCTGGGCTCAAGTGATTCTCCTGCCTTGGCTTCCCGAAGTGTTGGGTTGATGGGCGTGAGCCATTGCGCCCGGCCCTCGGCCCTCGCTGGGTTTAATGAGGTGTTGGTGTCGTTCTTTCCCTAGGTGGAGCCAAAGCGTGCGACGGGAGCACGGGGCGAGAGCAGTATCACGAGCCTCCCCTTATCTTCAGCCTGGAGGGCGACGCTGCGGAAGGCGAGCCTCTAGACAGAGGCGCTGCCGAATACCAGGCCGTGCTGCCGCAGGTCCGAAAGGCTCTGGCAGATGTGCTTCAAGACATTGCCAGCGACAACACCTCCCGGGCGGACTACGCGCAGGACCCTTCGGTGACTCCCTGCTGTAGCCCCGACCATGTGGCCTGCCGCTGCCAGGCCGCGTGACAGATGGGTTTTTCCGCAGGGAGGAGTCTCTGGAGATGAAACGGGCCCCCTGAGGTCTCAGGCCTCTTGGAGTGGCCCCCTTGCACACTGCTCCTTCTCCGCTGGCCGGAGGGAGCCGCTGGACCGTCGCACGCTCACCAGGGCTCTGGGGTCAGGCACAGGCTTGAGCCCCAGCGTTTGGCCTTGGGCGATTACTTAACCCGACTTGCAGGTTGACTTTGAGGGTTAAACGAGGCAATACACGGAAACGCCTGGCACATGACCTGACAGATACGAATACACTTTGGTTTCCTTTTTATGCCCCCAGCGTCTCTGGTCATTTTCGCGTAGAGCCAACCCAGCCAGTGTCCACCGCAGACCTCCTCCATCTTGCATATGCAGACAAATCCCCCGGGACCTGTGAACCGGCTGCCTCTGACTCGGCAGGTCTGGAGGGAGCCTTTTGCAAACCAGGCCCTGAGGAGGCGTCCTCGGCCCTTCCCCTCCTCCCCTTTTGGGATCCGGTGACTGTATCATAAAGGCTTTGAGAGTTCCTGCCCCGTAAAACCTCAAGGAAATAAAATAAGCTTTAAAACCTTTAAAAATGTCTTGCCATGAATTTATTAGTAGTGTCCAAAGTGGGACTCCCAAGTAATAAATGATTTATTCCAATCACTGCAAAAAATACTTTGCCGGGCTAAAATAGTCTCTGCATACGTACGCAATATACAAGGAATACGGTTCAGAGAGGCTTTCCTATAAGTACATTTTGACACGGCATATATTTCAGAAGGATACCCTTTTCAATAGCAACGTTCGGTGATACACCCATAGGGCTAGTGAGCATTTACTTGATGGCTTGGACGTACTGAAACGGCACAACGTGCAAACGGCCCCCGCCGCTGGCCGCCGGGGCCGAGGGAGCCCGGAGAGGAGCCAGCCGTGTCCTGCGGGGTCAGCGGCAGCACCCGGGATGCCTGCCCCTCTCGCTCACACCGTTCTGCACTCCGCTCTTCCACCTTCCTGGTCTCGCCAAAACCACCTGCAGGGCTGTCCTGCTCTCGGGGGTGCTTCCCATCATGACTGCTTCGCCTTGCCCTTCTGATTTCCACGGCTCAAGATTATCTACCAAAATCAAAACAGAAGGGCCTTACTCTCCCCGGGAAGAGGCTGGCCGGCAGCCGCATCATCGGCAGGCCCGCACCCGTGCAGGGCCGGCGGGAGCGCTGGGCGCAGGGAGGCTTTTCCGCCCGGCCTCAGACGGGCCCTCGCGCAGGGCTACAGAAAAGCCACCCATCTTGTTTAGGCCTAGATGCGGGCGGCGCAGTTTCAGAAAATACTGACTATAGAGAATGTGTGTTTGGCTGCGTATTTGCAGGTCTGCGTGTACTTTTTGAGAGGCCCACCGTACTCGTAAACACGGACTGCTACATCACGACTAACACGCCGGCACGTCCCCTTGGTTCCGACTGGCCTGCTCTGGCTCACGAGGCGGAGGCAGCCTCCCAGAACGCACAGCCTTGCAGAGGCCGGCTTGCTCCTAAGCGGCAGCGGCTTTCCAAGGACCAGAAGTGGTGGGTTCTCCTTTCTTTCGTGGTTCTTGGAGCAAAGTCAGTCCCAGGGAGGTAAGAGTGCTCACGAGCAGGGAAGTGGCAGTATGCTCTTTAAAAGCTCTCCGGAGAGGACTCGGTCCGCGGGGCAAAGACCCCTGCTGCAGATGCTCAGGCAGCTGTGGGAGGAGTGATCCTGACCGGGTGGGACTCCAAGCCTTCCGCTACCCGAGGGGGCTTAAGGAATGTGAGTAAAGGCCTGAATTCTGGACAGACATCTGCAACAGGCACGGCAATTCGGAGCAAAGGCAGAGAGGGGACACTTCTGCCCATAAGGGCATGACCGGGAGGGGCATGTTGCAAGTGCTCCAGGAGCGCTCACGCCCTGGGCCCGTGTGGTGAGATGCAGAAACCTGCCTGCTCCGGGCCACACCTCAGCGGAAGCACCGCCCCTCCTCACCAGAGGGCAGCCAGGGGTTTGGTGGCCACCAGGACCCCAGTGCTGACCCCGCACACAGGACTGCTTGACATGCTGGGGTCTGACAGCTGTTCTCGGGCCCTCGTTCAATGGCCAACACTCTCACTGGCAGGAAGCGTTCATGGTGGAGAAACAGAAACTCCTGAGGCAGTTTAAACCAACTCTCACTTGTTTGGTCCCGAAGAAGATGGGACAACTGGCTTGTGCCCCACCTCCTGGCGCTGTGTATGTGTCCACGGCAAACAAACTTGCCTTTGAGACAAGTTTTACGCTAGCTGTTGACGCAAGGGACCTGTTATTTTATACAGGTTTTCTTTGGCAAGGGACTCTTAAATGCCAATATCCAAATTACCCCAGTTCTTAAATATGAGAGGTTGCAAGATTTACTCTGATCACAATTAAGAATGTGACGAAGAATCTCGCAATCTTTCGTAGCAGTCTTTTAGCAAAGTTACCCAAACGGGATCCAGTAAGTGTCTGAGCCCTCTAAACCTTGATGGAGTAGGACGGCCACATCTGTCCCCACTGCACTGACCTACAGTGCTGTTCCTGGAAGATGCAACTTCAGGTCAATAACCTCCACCTTTTGGGGAGACAGAAAAACTCCCTCTCTGGCTAGTTGGGGCCATGAGAACCCAAAGGCAAATCAACACATCAACAGGTTTATCGCTAGGCAGCCGGCCAACAGATGTTTTGAAGTCTATAATGAGTGTTTTTAAGAACCACTGCTCTCCCCCGCTAAAACATAAACTTCCCTTGTTGGCAATGTTTCTGGCAACCTGCCCATTAAAAGCCAGACATGTGTCTCTGAGCTGTGATGCCCAGAGCCACTGTGGGAAATCACAGACCCTGCCACCCAGTCCTGCACCAAAGGCCCTCGACAGCATTGCTTGTTATGCCAAATAGGTTTACTAGATTGTTCCATGGATCTGTGGAAGAAAGCCAGACCAGCACGGCATCTCCTACAGATGGCATCTCGACTGACCAGGAGGAGGTGTTCGACACCGGAGCGTCATGAGCACTCCTTCAGTGCCACTGGGCACGGTGGCTCCTCTCTGGCCCTGGGATCCGACTTGCCTGGTCTTCGCCCAAACACCGCTCCCATCTTAAGTGGCATTGAGTTGACTGTCGGACATGTTTTCTACCTGAGGCTCACAAGAGGGGTCTACATGTTGCTCCCAATGGAAGCTTGAAGCATCGGGAACTACAGGGCCCTGGCAGCCACCGGGAAGGAGAGAAGCTTTTCTCTCTGGAGATGCTGGAAGAAGCCAAGTCCAGCGTGCAGCCAGCCCCGGAGGCCCACGCTGCCAGGACGGCAGGAGCAGGATGTGGGGAGCCAAGGGACGGTGCCCAGGTGGCTCAGGCAGCGCGGCCCCTCCACACAGTCATTTCTTGATGGGTGTCTGCAGCTATGGGGGTGGGGGAGGGGAAGGGACATGGGTCTGCCTGGCCTGACGCTCTGGTGTCGGTCCCACACAGCCAGCCCCGGGAAGCCATCGCCGGCACAAGGTGGCATTCTGTGAGACCATCCACAGTAAAAGGCGTCGACACAGGCACACGCTCCTACCCGGCAGGAGCAAGACCAGTGCTCGGAAGCAAAGGGTGGCGCTCCAGGCCCTGGCAGAGCGCGGCCGCCGAGGCCCCCGGTTTGAACCCCGGGCTGCGCTGCTGCGGCCGGAGCTGGGCTCCGAACCCGCAGGCTCGTCTGCAGGGTCGGGAGCACACAGTACCGGAGACACCCTAAGGCTTTCGGAGTAGCAGGGAGGAGGCTGGCAGTTACAGGCCAGGCCACTGAGAGAATGACTCCGCCTCTCGCCGAGGCGAGGCGAAGCTTCCTTCTCAACAGCCCCGGAGCTGCCGGTTTACGAGCTCCTGATGCTCACAGGGGGGAACTCGTTCTCGTCCTCCAGACACACCGGCCCGGCCGCAAACTCGTGCTCCGGAATGACCTCTCCTCGCAGCGCCCCGCCGTCCTCAGAGTAACCTGGAAACCAGAAATGAGAAGTGAGACCAACCACAGCGCCGTTCTGATGCCAGCCCCGGGGACTGGGGTGGGGGGGCACCTCTGAGGGAAGGGAGCCAGCCGACTCCTGGGGGACATCTCTGGCTTCCAGCAGGAGATTGTGCTTAGGCTGAGTCAAGATCCCCACTGTTCAAGGTCTCCAAGCCTCTGAGATGGACGGCTGGTCTCACCCACCTTCCACCCTTCCACCTCAGAGGCTGGGAACTTTCCACCTCTTGGGATTTTTTTTTTTTTTTTTTAGACGGGGGTCTCACTATGTTGTTCAGACTGGCCTTGAACTCCTGGCCCAAGGGATCCTCCCACCTCAGCCTCCCGAGTAGCTGGGACTAAGGCTCTTTGACACTTTTGAAGAGGCAAAGGTTAACACTACTTGTTAGTTAATGACCGTCTCGTGCTAGGCCTGCCAGGTTTAAGGTCCCAAGCACGAAGGCTATTCCCGTGGCCTCACCCGTGAGGACATGAAGCGCTCGAGGAGAACGCTCCATCCCCAGAGAGCAGTGAAGGGAGAGGTCACTGCTGGAGATGCCCCCCCTGCCAGCCCTGGCTCACTCACCTGGCACCGTGGAGGCAGAAGACGGGCTTGGCCTGGCGACAGTTGCTGCGTACGACTGAGGTAAGGGCGGCCTGAGGTCATTTTCTTTATTCTCTTCTGCCGTTCCTGAGCCCAGCAGGCTGCATGCACAATTCAGAGGGGGTGAAGAGAAAGCCATCGTCACGTGCCTCGAGACCCTTCCAGGAAGAGTCCAGAGGCTCACGCGTGGCTAGCTTCGCTTCGCTTGGGACCTAGCAGTGCACTCCTAGGCCAGCATGGACTGACTTTAAGCTGCCAGGGCAAGTACACAGCTTCAGTGGCCTCTTTCTCTTACACCTAATAAAGATCGGTTCTCTGCTCTTTCTGGCACATTCAGGTGAGGACACCAAGACATGCTACCAAGGGCAGCAGCCATGGGCAAGGGTGCTCAGCAGGACACGAGGCCAACCTGCACTTGGTCACAGAAGAGACCTTTTCCACTCCGTGCAGGGAATGGCTATGAACACCTGCTGCGCACCCGGGGCTGTACTCGGAGGAGCCAGGCGAGGGAGAGACACTCCATTTGGCGTGTCATTCATTCTGGCTCAAACAGAGCTCCCAGAAGAGTTCTGCATGCCAAGGGCACTCGGCATAGAGCCCATCGCAAACCAGGGGCCCACCAGAGGCTTGCCACTGAGACTGCTGGGGAAGGAGAACTTAGGCGGAGCGCCGAAGCACGCCATGCTCTTGGCCCAGTGGCGCGTCTGCACAGGCCCCTGAGAGGCCGACTCTGAAACCAGCATCATCACCTGTGGGTCTTGACTAAGACGCACTCTCCCCCGTCCTGAGGGTCCAGATTGTAGATGTACAGGTGTCCGTCGGATGATGCCACCAGCAGCCTGGGCAGCTTCTGGATCCTGAGGGCCAAGGAGACACGGCTGGGATACCACGAAGGCAGGAGACGGACGGGCTTCATACGGCAAAGTCCCGCTTGCCCCGGCTGTCACCAGCTTCTGATACTGACAAACCCTGGCCTCCAACTGGAATCTGGGCTATGGCTTTCCCTTTGCATCCTGATCTCGTGATGTCCTTTCAGACTGTTTCTTGTCTTTGTTTTTTCTGTTTTCTTTATTTTTGAGTCGGAGTCTCACTCCGTCGCCCAGACTGGTGTGTAGTGGCCGCTCCCGGCCACCGCAGCCTCAACCTGCTGGGCTCCGGCGATCCTTCCGCCTCAGCCTTCCGAGTAGCCGGAATTACAGGCATGCGCTACCATGCCCGGCTGATTTTTTGATTTATTGTAGAGGTGAGGTCTCGCCCAGTTGCCCAGGCGGGCCTCAAACCTGCGGGCTCAGGCAATCCACTCACCTCAGCCTCCCAAGGCGTGGGATTACAGGCTGAGCCACTGAGCCTGGCAGTTTCTTGTCTTTGAACATCATTGTGTGGATGAGGCAAAACAACGTGTGTGGACACCATTACCATGAGAAACACTGCCGCCAGCAAGCACACTGCTCACCCAGCTAGGGCACGGTCCCTATCTGACATGTGTCTCTGCTTTTAGCAGTGACAGAAAGCGGGGAAAGTGTACAACCAGTTCATCGTTTGCTGGTTAGTTTTATGAAATTTTTAAAACATTCAACTTTTAAATGCACTTTAAGACTCTTAGATGAAATGTCTATCACCCCCTTAGTGTTGGGGCCTAGACCTGGAGATTCTTATGTAACTTCATGACACAGGAACTGTTTTCAAGACTGCTGTTCCAACCAGAGGGTTAAATGTCCCCCAGCCAGCGTCCAGCTCCCCCTGGGGATCTACATTAAAATTCAGTAGGAAGAGGAGGGGTTCATTTCTGCCTGCCCTCTTTTTGGCCATCTTTTCTTTCTTCTTTTTCCTTTTCATGTGTGGGGATTTTGTGCTTTGGGAAAACCAATTTACAGACACATGTGCTTGCTGCAGGGGTGGGAGGGTGGCACATACGTACGTTGAGAGGGTGCAGATGTTCCTCTGTCCGGAGAAGCCCAAGCGTCCCGTGGCAAATGCTCTGTCCTGGTGCATCATGTCAGACACCTGGGCGGGGAGGTAGTTGGTGGCGGCCATGAACATCTTTCCCATGTAGCCACTCCAGGTCGAAGGCTCCTCCGGGCGACTAGGGAGAATGCACAGGCGGGGTGGGCCGGGGCTGTGGGCAGGCACCCCCCAGGCTCCACACCCAGGTGTCATTAGCTGCACTCACCACAGCAGGCAGAAGCTGTGCCTTAGCATAATGTTCTGCCCACTGAGAACAACCCGGACAAAGGATTCTGGCAATCGCAAAAGAGCATCAAGGGCCTGTGTGTTCTTTGGAACAGCCACGGAACAGCTGTTCAAAGGCTCCCAGTGCTACTGCTTTCCTCCATTAAGAAGATGGTTAGTCTGATCCCTGATCTCCAAGAGAGGGCTAGGGCAGAGGAGCGGGACCTAACATCCGGAGGCTGTACAATGTGCTTGGGTGTGCTGGGTTCCTGGCGGCACAGACAAGTCTCTGCCTGAGGTCTCCCAAGCCAGACTGAGTGGGAGCAAACCTCCAGGCAAGACTCTCTGGACGGAGAGGTGTACAACTGGCTCAGCATCTTTGGGTGAGTTTCATGGAATTCTTAAATGTTCAACTTTTTAATACACCATGGTCAACTTCTTAGACAAAACATCCGTCAGTCCCACGGGCATCGGAACTACACCTAGAGGCTTCTTGCACGATTACATGAAAGAGGAATTGTTTTCAAGGCTGTGCCGTTCTAACAGGGTTAAATGTTAACCTGACAGTTTCCAGCGCTCCCGAGGAATGCACATTAAAGTCCAGCAGGAGAGGCTTCGATTCTGCTCACAGACAGCCCTGGAGCCCCCGGCGCCCTGCATTCATGACAACAGAGATCATTTGAGGGACCTGCAGTCGCGGCACTTCAACCCAAAGCCTCGGCCAGACAGAGGGGAGACTGCCCTGCTGGTGAGAGATGCTGTCTCTGTCCCGCACAGCGGGCAGCAGGCTGAGGCCAGGCCTGCCGCACCTTTGGAAGCCCCTACCGAGAGGCCGTGCGGGCCCTGGGAAGCTAACGCAATCCCCCAGGCTCAGGGCACACCCGCCACTCTGTGCCCAGGGCTAGGTGGTCTTCGGACAGACCTCTGGCCTTGATGTCTCCTCTAAACGTGGCCCATCGGAGACACACTGCTGCGAGTCTGTGACCTGAAGTGTCACGAGACCTCCCTGGACTGACTGCGTAAGGCCCTGCGTGGTAAGTTGGGATTTATAAAGAGGCGCCACAGCCAGACCTTGTGTTCCGGGTGGGGACAGAGCACAGGTATGGAAAGAAAACTGCAAGGGCAGTCAGTGTGCGGCGAGTGCCACACCGACGGCACAGGCAGCTTCCCCAGCCTCTGAGGAGGCAGGGCGGCGAGCTTCCTTAACTCTCGGCCTCCGTGTCTCCTCACGAAGAGGATGGCTTGTCAGGCCCTTCACGCCAGGGTTGTCGGGAGACCCCAGGAGGCTCCAGGCAGAGCCAGGCACCTGGCAAGGCCGCTTCACGAGACAGAGTCTCTGAGGCCAAGCGACTGAAGGCTCCGGGGCGGGGGCCGCTGGGTTGGCAGCAGCCGGGACTTACGTCCCAAGGGACTTTGTGGAGGAGGCGCCGTGTCCAAAGGAGCGCTTTCAGACGAGGACTATGGCCAGGAGGCATGGGACACAGGGCCGCAAGAGACTGGAAACTGTCCACCAGGATGCGAGCGTCGTGGCGGGCCGGCGAGAGGCGCCAAAGGCCTGGCCGAGGGCAGGCTGCAGGGCCGGCGTGAGCCTTCACCTGGGACCCCGAATGCCTACGGACGTGGGCAGGGCGCAGCGGCAGCTAGGTCACTCGGCCAGGGAACCTCGGGTGGAAGGAGGCTACAGTTCCCGCCCAGTGCCCACATCTCTAACAGATGGTGAATTCGAGTCAGAGGCGAGGCCTCGTGCTCTCTGACGGACACCATCACACAGACGGCAGAGGCAGGGCCTCGTGTCATACTGACACACACTCACACACGAATGACAGAGACGGGCCCTGCGTCACACCGGTACATGTTATTACACGCATGGCAGAGGCAGAGCACCATGTCACACTGATGTGCACTAGCACGTACACGGCAGAGGCGGGACATCGTGCCGCACTGAAACGCGCTAACATACATGACAGAGGCGGGCACTGTTTCACACTGATATACACCAACATGTACACAACAGAGGCGGAACATCGTGCCATGCTGAGTTCTGCCACGTCAGCAGGATAGCTTCTTTCGGCCGCGGGAGAGAGGCCTCTCGTGGGGCACACGTGGAGCCAGCCTAGGAGTAAACTCGTGGGCTCGTCAGAGATGCCGGAGCTTCCGTGGGCAGCTCTCAGAGGCCTGGGGGCTGGGAAACGTGCCTGGCACATAGGCCTGGCTTGGAGAAGGAGACCCTGGACGTCCCTGGCCCCAGCTCCTCAGCCACCAAGCGCCGAGCCTGCCGGCCTTCTAGGGGCACTACGGGGAGCCGGGGGGAAGCGTGGGCGGCAGTCCAAAAGCCAGGCCATGCCCTACCGGGGACGGATGTCAGTACAGACTCTCCTTTCAGAGTGCCGCGGGGGAAGTCACGCACACCCCATGCCCCGATCCTGTGACACTGAAGAGGGGTGTCGGCCCTGAGGCCCCGAGGAGAGGCATGGGCAGGGGCAGGGGCCGGGGCCCTGAATCTGGACCGCGTGGGGAGAAGGGCGGGGCACAGCGACCCAGCCACGCACGATGGCGGGGAGGGAGGACACGAGGCCCCTCTCCAGCATGAGATGTCTTCACGCGTGGACGTGGGCACTCCGCAGCCCCACCCACCGCTCACACAGACTCTGCAGAAACGGCCCCACCACTTTACGCCCTCGTCCCTGGAACCCATGAGCTGACATGCTGCTCTGATGCCGAGGGCACGTGAGAAGTGCAGGCGGCCTCTCACAGCTGAGTGATTGCACTCATGGCGAGTGGGACGCGGGGCCTTGCTGACACCGCGGCCAGGACCACTGGATTCCTCTCCGGCCCCAGGAGGGGGCTTGGAGGCGACGCCTGGCTCCAGACGGGAACGCAGCTGGCCGATGCCGCCTTTCAGCCTGTGAGACCCGGGCGAGCCCCGGCGGGCTTTCCCTACCGAACTGTGAGATAGTAACTGCATGCTGTTTGTGGCCATAAAGCCTGTGGTTCCTTGTTCCAGTGGCAACAGGAAGCAAATACACACGCCACGGGCTAAGGCCTAACACAGGCTTTAACACACAGCGAGCGTCATGGGGGGTGTTTGCTAAGTACTCTGTAGAGCTGACAGCAGAAACAGCAATGTGGCCCCATTTCCAGCCACCCTGGATGACACTGGTCATCCTCCATGCCAGGCACTAGGCCAAATGCTCTGCGCCCTCACTTAATTCTCACAAGCCTAAGACGCGTGCACTGTTAATTCATTTGTCTTCCAGATGAAGAAACTAAAGGACAGAAAGGCTAAATCACCGTCCCAGGATCTCACAGCCCACATGGGGCAGGGCTGGGAGGCAAACTCAGGAGAAAGGCTGTGGATGCCGTGCTTTTGTGCACCACGCCACCAAAGTCCCTCCAACACCCACTCCACCAGCTGGGCGAAGACACAGGAAAGCCACCTTTCTAGCATTCAAGGAGGAAGGAGATGGCTCATGCTGATGGCACAGCCAGGGGCCCTGGCGCGGCCACTTACCTGTTGGTGACCTGCTCCAGCTTGAAGATGTGCACCGTCTCGGTGTTGCTGGACGTGCAGAGGAACTGCGAGTCCATGCTGAATACGAGAGAGCTGATTGTCACATACCTGGAAACAACACAGGGACCCGTGAGCCGGAAGAATGAGGGTGTGGCCTTGCAGTTTAGAGGTCAGCTTTATCAGAAAATTAAACAGATCCTGAAGAACCTCGGTGTTCTAAGCCACTCCAAACAGTATAGCAACTCGTGTTAGAAAGGTTCACAAAGGGTCAGTTGCGGTCTTATGTGAGAAGCATCAGGGAACGGCTGCAGACGGGAAGCGTCGTGTCTGTGTGCCTGGGCCCAGCTGCACCCCCACACGCGATGGGATCCTAATCATGCTTCACACTGCCCGGACCCACGGAAGGGAAGCGGCGGTTTTTGGACGGCGACTCTCGCTTCTCCTGTGCCGCTCGCTGCCCACGCTCCCGCCGAAGGGACTCTCAGGGCCGAACGACCCTGTTACACCAGCATCTTGCTTTCTGTCTCGCTGCGCCCCAAGGGGAGCCTGGCAGTCCCGGGAAGCACAGCCACACTTCCTCCAGGGGCGCAGGGCACAGGGCCACCACCCTCCGTCCCGCCCCCAGCCGCCACTGGCGGCCCCTGCAGGACTTCTGTGAGGACTTAACACGGGCTTGACGTTGAACACAGACCTCTTCATTCCTCTTCGGAATTCATAGAGCTTTTGTCCATCAGGTACAGAGAACACCCGGATGACTGTGCCCTGGAAAAGAAGGTGGTGGACACTTCATGATCGTGATGGCTTCACGCAGCGAGGTCCCCTCAGAGAGGAGTTTGTTTTATGGGCTTCTAACATCTGAGGGGGAAGTGCAAAGTGTTGAGCATAGAGGCGTTTTTATTTGTTTGTGTGTCATATCAGCAGTTCTTGGAACGTGTTTTAAGCACCTTCCTTCTCCCTTTTGCCTCCCACTCGTGCCCACGGCGCTGTGTCTGTGTGTGTGTGTGTGTGGTGTGTTCGCCTAACTGCCCCGGCTTCCTAGAATATCCAGTCTCTGGCTGCTTTCTGTGGCATTTGAAGGCGAACCTGATCACCTTCCCCGGTTATTCCAGTCAGAAGAGATCAACTCTCCGGTTGATCAGCGAAGCAAACCACTTTGCTGATGCTGCGCTGTGTCCACGGAAGCCGTCGGACAGCATCGTGGCTGCCTGCATACACGTTCCTTAAGGAGGCCACGCGGGCCCGCAGCCTGCACAGCGAGGCTCCGTCGGCGCAGTCACCGACGCGTCCACAGACCGCCGCAGGCAGGCCCAGAGCTCCCCCTCCAGCTGGTCCCAGAGGCCCAGAGACCGCCGCCCTCCCTCAGAGCCTCCCGCCCTGCCACGCGGACGCCCGGACGGAAGGAGGAGGCGCTGGCGGGCACTCACTTTTCCCGAGGCGCTGGCGAGCCTGGAGCCCGAGGCGTTGAAGGCGAGGGCGGCCAGGGTCCCCTC